TAGGCCATTAGATACTTTCATAGGTAGCCTCAGAGAGTTCTTCCATATTGAAATTCTGTAATACAGGAGACTAATTAAATAGCCCCTGTTTCTTGTACCACCTGCACTTAGTTTTAAGGAAGTGAAAACTGTTTTTATTCTTACTTAAAAATTAAAACAAAACAAAACAAAAAAAACCCTAAAATCCTATTACAGAATTAGCATTTCTATTCATGGTGCCTTATGACGGAGAAATCTCAAAGTACTTTTGTTTATTGAGGTGCCTGGCTGGGTCAGTCTGTAGAGTGTGTGATCAAGTCTTGGGATCATGAGTTGGGGCCCTGTGTTGGATATAGAGCTTACATTAAAAAAAATACACGGAAGAGATTTTATTTTTTTGTTCCAGTCAAGATTATATGATGGGTCAGAGATAGGGTTATTTTACAAGGTCTTTTCTTCGCCGAGCTCATAATTTCTTTAATCTCTTTGGGAATCAAGGCAATTATGTAAAATTTTGTTCTTCTGAAGTGTGCTCTTCATCTGTAATACACATCTTCTACTTCATTCTGTTTCTGTTCCAGCATTTTTGTACAGGTCCCATATGAGTGTTTATTACCTGTCAAAAAGAGTGTGATAGAATGATCTTAATACCTTTCCTTATTCATTTGGAGACCCTTTGAATCCTTACCTTAGACACAATGTGGAAGTTTCTTTTTGATGTCATTATTTTATAATTAGTTCCCAAGGCCTAAAGGGGCAAGGGATGGGTATAAAAACCAGTGGCTATAGGTAGCCCACAGTATTAGGGCTTTATGTTAACAGTTCAACCATTGTACACTGATGCCAAATTATGAAAAATACTTTATCTTTCTTATTCAGTGGGATATCCACAGATGTTGGTTTATTCTATAATTTCAGGGCGTGTTACAGAATTTTGTAAAAAATCAGGTTAATGTGACACCTCATGTTTGTTAATTCTCTTTCTTTCCTTTTTTTTCTTCCTTTCCTTCCATTTCTTTCTTTCCTTTCTTTTACAGGTCAACTTGTCCTTTTCTCCATCCAACTGGATATTCATCTGCTGCAAATTTAGTTCCCAATATAGAATCCCCTCTTACCCTTCAGAGCCCCCTCATCCTGATTAAGGAGCTAGATTAGACAAACTTTTAAATGTTAGTGGCCACAGATGTATTACAGTTTATCCTCTGCAATGGAGAAATGGCTCTAGGAGACTCGGTTTTTGCCTTTCTTACAGCCTCCCATGCTTTCAGTCTTGCATCTTCAAAACGATAGGTACCCTATTACCCTAACTTACCTCTGATAACATTGTATGACCTCAAGTAAGGAAATGCTTTGTTGATGCCATGGGAAAACTCTCAACTCTGAGAATTCTACTTGTTACATGATGGACCCTATCATGTTCTATTTTTTTTCAATAAACTTGTTTCATTTCCATAATTTTAAGATTAAAGATTTTAGGGACACCTGGGTGGCTCAGCCGGTTAAGCATCTGCCTTCAGCTCGGGTCATGATCCCGGGTCCTGGGATTGAGCCCTGCATCGGGCTCCCTGCTTGGCGGGAAGTCTGTTTCGCCCTCTCCCTCTGCCTGCCACTCCCCCTGCTTGTGCTCTCTCTCTCTGACATATAAATAAATATATTTTTTTAAAAGATAAAAGTTTTAAAAAATTAGTCAGCTTCAATTTTGCAGCAAATAAAATTTAGTACTCTGGAAATTTAAATATGGAATGGGTCAACTTGCTCATTTGCTCTGTCAAATAAATAAAAAAAATAACAAATAAAATTAGTGCCCTTCCTCAGCCCATGTACTTGCTCTAATGTATTTATCTTCATTTGGAAAAAATTTCTTTACTGCTACTTCTTTAATCATAATTTTATCTACTTTTTCTATAGGCTATTTTCTTATTATTTAGAAGATGAGCATCACTACAGTGAAATGGGTGGTTAGATGAAAACAGTGTTTTATAAATCAATATAGATAACATTTTATAGCCCCAATCCTTGGGACTATAGTCCCAATCCCAATTATTAGTTGTGTGAAACATAGCCTCAGCTGTCTCATGTTTGTGTGCCTTATTATCATCCAAACAACCCTTGGGATTGTCAGACCATCCCCTACATCTCTGCTCAACGTGGTTCTAGGAGGCAATGAGAATTTGCTAGAGCTTCTACCCATTATCAGGACCAGGTCAAGTCCATTCCTTTGACTAGCCCATGTGGCTCATGCTCTTCTTTTGTGAACACTGCAGGATTCTGTTCCTTGGCAGTGTTTTCTGGACTACTGTTTTCACTATCATCCTGATGTCGGCACATGTCTTTGCATCTCCACCCACAATATTCTACTAGTCTTTGTTGTATTGACCCCACAGTGGAAGACAGAGAGACAATAAAGTGTTTTGTTTTGTTTTTTTTTATGATACTCTTTTGGTCTCCAAATATAAGTCTTACTATGAAATGATTCTTCATTGTACTGAAATGCTCCCTCCATGAGGGCAGGTACCAAACCATCCATATTTCTAGGATACCTCCTGGCACATAGTAAGTGCTCAATCATATTTGTTCAATGAATGGTCTAAGTCCTTCAAGGACTGGCTAGAGAGTACATAAATGACAACATTGACTTTAAACATATCCTCTCTGGTGGACTTTTTCAGACAAGCCAGCATAGACTTTTCTCCTTGTTCCTGCCAAGTACAGCTATAAACCCTGGAAACAATGAAAGAGGCAATCATAGGAGGCCTTTGAAAGGTGAAAAGGGAAAGGCAGACTGGCTAGGGACCAAAGACTAGAGGAACAACACAGTGGTCAGGTATCTTAATTATCCTCCTCATCCAGAAACAGAAAGCAACCCAGGCCCCATGTCTCCTGTCCAATGGCAGGAAATGGACCAGGTAGGCTCATTCGTCCCCTGGATCAAATAGGAGTCCTGCAAATAAAACAAGGCAGGCCAGTGGCATTGACCAGGGGGACAGAGTAGAAGTTCCTCTGACAACAGGTGGCTCTGGGGAACTACTCTTCATCCCTGTGAGCTGAAGAATTCCTTTCCCCACCTAGAGGCGCAGGTGGCTTGGCTGGGGAAGTGCCTTTTATCCCCACAGATGGCATCAGCAGAGATCAGTCAGAACCCTGGTGGTACCAGGGGAGGAAAGCAGACCAAAATAACACAGCAAAGTCTCCAAATATTAAATTGTCATTGGAACCACAGTCTATAAGTAGAATATGATCTGCATGGTAAACCTAAACAGAGTGACTGCCTGCTAAAATAGAAGATGTATATAAGACCTAGAATCACCCAAGTGTCTAGTATATAATAGAAAATCACCTGTCATACCTAGAGGCAGGAAAATCACAACTTGAATGAGAAAAGACAATGAAATGATACCAACACCAACATGAATCAGATTTTGGAATTATCTGACATGGATTACAAAGAAGACATCATAAAAATGCTTCGACAAGCAAATGTGAATTCTCTTGAAACAAAGGAAAATGTAGACAATCTCAGTAAAGAAACAGATGTTAAAAAAATGGAAAATAGAAAGCTGAAAGAAATATAATAACCAACACCAATAAATCATTAGATGGGCTCAATTGTACAATGCAGATGACAAGACAGAATCAGTGAACTTGAGAACAGATAAATAGAATTCACCAAATCTGGATAACAGAAAAAAAAATAGACTTCATGAAAAGAATACTCTTTCCCTGATGATCAAAAAGAACCTCTTTTGCTATGCGGTGAATTGTTTCCCATCCTGATGTATTAAACGCCACTCCTGTCCAGCTGGGTGGATTTCATCTCCCTTCTTTGTCCTAATTTCATTATCACAGGGATGTAGCTCTCAGTCCCAAAGCTTCCTCCAAGGGCTCCTGGGACTCTAAGCAAAAAGGAAATTTTGTAACCTGTTTCGAGGTTCACATTGGGCAGCTTAACAACTAATGTCACTTTCTGAATCCTTCCATCTCCCATCTAACATATTTCTTTTTTGTTTTTTTTTATCTAACATATTTCTAATCATTCCTGATGAGATAGCATTGGGCTGCCCCATCAGGACTCAGAAGCACAGTCTCCTAGCTAGAATCTATGACAATCCTTTGAACTTGAGAAATTAGCTCTATAAATTTGAAATATATAGCTCTATAAATCTAAATATATAAACTTTTATTGAGATATTATAAATTAGTTAGCTACTCATTATACAAAGTGAAAAAACATACAAAAAGCGGTATAAAATAAACTTTTTTTTGTACAAGTCCTATCCCTTTCAGAGTAAATCTTAACTTTTCTCAACAACTCCTTAATCTGTGGTTTTCTTTGCTATCCTTAAGAAAAATATAAATCATCTTTTTTCCCTAAGATTTTTAATTAATTTACTTAAGAGAGAGAGAGAGGGAGAGAGTACAAGCAGGGGGAGCAGCAGAAGGGAAGCAGGCTCCCCACTGAGCAGGAAGCCCAGTGTGGGGCTCTATCCCAGGACCCTGGGATCATGACCTGAGCTGAAGGCAGACCCTTAACCAACTGAGCTCCTCAGTCACCCCAGAAAAATATAAATCTTCTACTTAACAGTATTTTGAAACTGCTCACAGTTACGCCTGCTGATTCAATTTGTGTGTTCTACTTTGGGAAACGTTTTGACATCTAAAGCCTTACTTTAGCTGTTTCAAATGCTCTGTAACTAGGTTTTCAGAGCTTAGGGGAAGTCTGTTGTTAACTAATTAGCTCTGGCTAATTGCTTGCATATTCTAATTGCCCTAGCTATCTATCCCTGAATCCACCATAATCTCCGAGACCCGAATTCTTGGCACTTCTCTCACTTGTCAGATTTGGCTTCATTCCGTTCTGAAGCTTGCTGGCTAAACCCACTCCTTCCTGGTTCTCTTTAGACTGGGAGAATAACAGAGGAAAACATGGACTCAACTGACAAATCACAGAATGCGGCTCCTTCCACGTCTTTCTCCCCAAATTCATAACTTATTAAAAAATAAATTTCAACAAGTGTTTACAGTATTCCAGGCAAGGTAATGGTCTGTTGAGAAAAGGGAGCTGACAGCAGCCACACCGAAGCATCGCCCCAGTCAAGCCGCTCTTCCCATCTGATTAACTTGAGTTTTGTGTTCATATTACTTCGCATATTATTTTTCCTGAGTTTAAATCCTAGTTTAAGGACCTACTTTCGGTGTGTCCATGAGTAAACTATTTAACAGCCCCCCAAGTCTCAGTTTACCCATTTATAAATGGAGAACTATATGAGTACTATATTATGATTCTGTGGGAAGATCAACTGTGGTGATCAACAGTGCCTCGTATATTGTAAGCACTTGATACATGTTAGCTATTGTCACTCTTCTTTATCATTGAATTAAGTTGTTCCCATACCCTTTATTTACTAAATTATAAATTTTGTGAAGTCAGGACAGTCTTCATCATCTCTGTTACCATTTTGGGAGGCTTCATCTGAAAGTGACTGACCCCTTTCCATGGCTTCTGTTGCCACCACTCACATCACCTTTGCCACCGACTCTGTCACATTTTTCCAACCAGAACTCTGCTACATGGCTACAAAATGCCTGCCACAACAGCCTTCTAATTTGGTGGGAACTCCAATACTTGCTTTGTTATGATATCACCAAATATATCAGAAGGCAGTAGAGATATCCCTGGCTCTTTACTTCTCGAAACCCCATTCAGAGTCACAGAGGATTGGCACTGGAGCCCTGGCATCTGAATTTCTAACTGTCACTGTGTGACTTCTTGAAACATATATTAATTCTCATTGGAAGATGTAGCATAATTTATTCACTTAATTAATCATGATTCTATATGATTTTTTGAATCTCTTCAAGCAAGGTGGATTTTCAAGCAAGGTGAACCTGGTAGGAAATCTCTATGACATCATTTTATTTCTGTATATATATTTTTTCTTTTTAAAGATTTCATTTATTTATTTGAGAGAGAGAGAGAGAGAGAAGAGTAAAAGAGAGCGAGACAGCTTGAGCTAGGGGTAGGGGCAGAGGGAGAGAGAAAAGCAGACTGCCCGGTGAGCAGACGCCCCATGCTGGGCTTGATCCCAGGGCCCGGGGATCATGACCTGAGCCAAAGGCAGAGGCTTAACCACCTGAGCCACCCAGGCACCATCTTATTTCTGTATACTTTCATTGGGAGAGAGGGCATAGGCTAAAGGCAGTAGTCAGACGTACATGCTTCTCTCACATTTACTCCACCAGGCCAAGCATCCAGCCTCTGGAACTGAAGCTGACTAAATTTTACTTAGGTCCCCATTTTGTAGAAAAAGTTGTCTTTATTTACATTCATATGTATTCTAAATATGTTCAATATAAATGTACTAATACCAATACTTAACTTTAGACAGTCTTCTAGAAACATGGCTGAAGGATATTACACGTCTTTGTTACTGATCCCTGGGCTTGACATTTATAGCGATTCTAAGTCAGCAGGTCATTTCAGGGTCTAGACTTGGTGAGAAGTATTAGGAGGAATGACTGGTTGTTGATCTAAGCCCTAGTTTTCAATTGAGCTTTTTTGTTTGAATCTCCATCTGTCTTGCCTCTCTGTATATATCATAACTGGTTCAGACTGGGAAAAGGAAAATGGAGTATTATTTAATGCCTTACCAAGTTAACTGAAACTGGTGACAAACCCAAGGCATAGCAAGGGGAGAAGAAAAATTAGTGTACAGTAAGAAAGTAGAAAAGATAAAGTAACTGGAATTAAAACTAAACTAAAACTAAAAAAAAAAACAAAAACAAACAAAAAAAACCAAAAAAAACCCCTAAAAAAATGAATTCTAAAAATAAATAAAAAGTAAACAAAATAAAATAACTATTAAAAAAACTAGAAAAGAGAGACTGAAACAAGAAAAGCAAAATAAAAACAAAGGAATATATCCTTTTAAAACAACTAAGTGATAAGAAAGGCACTGACAATTGCTTTTAGTGCTATTCCTGATAGCCAGTTGAAGGAGACTCAGTAGATTAAAGTCTAGAATGTTGACCTCTTTTTTCTTTATAATGCTGCCTTTATGTGCAGACAAAAATTAGTAATTGACCATTGATTACACCAAAATATAATTGTAGATACAGATACTGGTCACTAAACAACTTTATCATGAACAGAGATAGGTTAACCAATGACTTTAACACCCACTTGCCAAAAGAGAAAACTTTCATGTATTTTTCAAATTGGTATCATTTAGTTCATTGGTTCTTTTGAAAGTGTCCCAGAAATCATGATTCAGGGAAATTTGAATTGAGGTCCAGGAGTTAAAATTTCTTTTTTATTTTTTTTTAAAGATTTTATTTATTTATTTGACAGAGAGAGAGATCACAAGTAGGCAGAGAGGCAGGCAGAGAGAGAGAGGGGAAGCAGGCTCCCCGCTGAGCAGAGAGCCCGATGTGGGGCTCGATCCCAGGCCTGAGATCATGACCCGAGCCAAAGGTGGAGGCTTAACCCACTGAGCCACCCAGGTGCCCCAGGAATTTAAATTTCTATTAAGCTCTTCAGGAGATTTTGATGTGAGTGATTTGTAGAACACCCTTTGAGAAACATGAAGTAAATAAATAACCTTAGAATCCTCCTCTGAAGAGGCACTTGGGTGTCTCAGTCAGTTAAGTTTTTAACTCTTGATTTCAGTTCAGGCCATGATCTTGGGTCACATTATTCAGCCTTGTGTTGGGCTCCAAGCTCAGTGTGGAGTCCGGTTGTTCCTTTCCCTCTGCTCCTCCCCTGGCTCGCTCTCTCTCTCCTCTCTCTCTTTCTCCAAATAAATAAATAAATAAATAAATAAAATCTTAAAAAAAAAAAATCGTCTTCTGGAAATGAAAATGATTATGAGCATAATCATTTATATGCTTTTTTATAATTTATAAGCTTTTTTATGAGATATAAATGAGATATGAGATATAAATACTTAGAGTCTGGTATTTAGTAAGGACTCAACACATGTTAATTCTTCACCCCAAATCCCTTCTTATTTTATTTTTTTATTTTTATTTTTTAAAAGATTTTATTTATCTATTTGACAGAGAGAGATCACAAGCAGGCAGAGAGGCAAGCAGAGAGAGAGAGTGAGGAGGAAGCAGGCTCCCCACCGAGTAGAGAGCCCGATGAGGGACTTGATCCCAGGACCCTGAGATCATGACTCCAGCCGAAGGCAGAGGCTCAACCCACTGAGCCACCAGGCGTCCCAATTCCTTCTTATTTTAGAAATTGCTTCCCACTATACAAAAAGGACAAGTGTTGAATTACAATATAATTTCTCTCTACTCAATCACATCAATAAATGTATTCTGGTGTTCCGTTAGGTTTATTTCTGAATAACTTTACTGACTGTTTAAGACTGGTCTACCATCTACTCCAGTTTAACATCTGTTATACTATGTTTTAATACATGAAATCAAGATGGCTGTTATAATTTTTTAATTCTGTCCCGTAATTTGAGCCAACTTGTTTGTCACTATCTTAAATACCAAATACCACTTGTACTTTAACACTATCTTTCCATGATTGATCTGTAAGGCTAAAAGCACAGCAATTTTAGTTATTAAGGTAGGACTAATGGAAGAAATGACTCCAGGCAGATCACTGGTTGGGAATTCCTTACCATCAACTCTATCCCCAACATGGGACTTAAACTCATGACTCTGAGATCGAGAGTTGCACGCTCTACCAACTAAGCCAGCCACGTGACCCAACTCTATAGTAATTTTTCTATGTAATTTTATTTTATTATTTTTAATTTTATTTAAATAAATAAATAATAAATAAATAAAATAAAAATTTATTCATTAAAATATTATTTATTATTTTATTATTATTTATTAGTATTATATTATTATTAGACAGAGAGAGAGACAGGAGTGTGAAGGGGGAGGAAGTGGCAGGGGGTGAGGGAGAGAGAGACTCCCAAGCAGGCTCCATGCTCAGTGTGGAGCCTGCTATGGGGCTCAATCTTATGACCTCAAGATCGTGACTGGAACTGAAATCAAGAGTGGGATGCTTTTGGGAGATGGAGAGGAGAATGAGTTGGGGGAAATTGGAAGGGGAGACAAACCATGAGAGACTGTGGACTCTGAGAAACAAACTGAGGGTTTTGGAGAGGAGGGGGGTGGGGGATTGGGTGAGCCTGGTGATGGGTATTAAGGAGGGCACGTATTGCATGGAGCACTGGGAGTGGTGCATAAACAATGAATTTTGGAACACTGAAAAGAAAAAATTAAATTAAATTAAAAAAAAGTTTTTAAAATCAAGCACTTAATATAATCTATGTTAAAGTAACAAAAGGTGTATATGAATCTGCAAAATTTTGAGGCATCTCCATTGTTTTCCTTGACATTTCAAAATATGTTGCAATGAAAAAAATCCAGTGTTTTTCTTTTCTCAATAAATCTATTTTTATGGACAATCCTTAAACTCTTTGTGAATATTTTTTGGGGGACAAATCTCGTATTTAAAACTTGAAAATGGACTCTAAAAATTAGCAGAGACATCTTCATACCTACCACTACCTACAACCCTGATGGGGGAAAAGGGGTTTCTAGTTTTTTTTTTTTAAAGCATTACAAAAATTATTTTAAATGTATTGCCTTGTAGGTTGTGCTTCTGATGAAACTAAAAGCAGATGATTCCAGGAACTCCTTTTCTAGATTAAACAATGATCATACAACAGAACCTTGAACCATATTGCCTCAGTACCTCTTATAATTTATATATAGAGAAAATTCTGAGTAATACTACTGAAGGGAAAAATGTAAAAATATGGAAGTTCCTGAATTTATCATTATTTGTATGTCATTCTTTAACCTTTTTATTCAATGGCCAGTAAGTCAGTAATAATTTATTTATTTGTTTATTTTTAAATATTTTGTTTATTTATTTGAGAGGGAGAGAGAGATAGTGAGAGAGAACATGAGGGGGGAGGAGAGAGAGAAGCACGATGCAGAGCTCAATTCCAGGATCATGACCTGAGCAGACGCGTTAACCACAGGAGCCACCCAGGTGCCCCGAGTCAGTAATAATTTTGGATAAAAAAATGGGCATGGGGCGCCAGGGTGGCTCAGTGGGTTAAAGCCTCTGCCTTCGGCTCAGGTCATGATCCCAGGGTCCTGGGATCAAGCCCCACATTGGGCTCTCTGCTCAGCGGGGAGCCTGCTTCCTCCTCTCTCTGCCTGCCTCTCTGCCTACTTGTGATCTGTCAAATAAATAAAATCTTAAAAAAAAAAAAAAAGATGGGCATGGTCTGAAGGTTAGCAAAGTGTTCTCCATCTCTTCTCCTCAAATACCACTCCCTACTCTTCCAAGTGACTCAGAACAAATTTACCTACCTTGGTAATTCTTCCCCAAGTCCTGGTTAGAAAGCAATTATAGGAAAAAATGTGTGAGAAGCCACATAAAAAAATACTAGCCTATGATTACATGTGCACAAAGAGTTTACTTACCAGGTTAGTTCTCATCAAAGAGCAGGTGGGTCTGGATGAAAATGGAAGGGTAAGAAAGAGGCCATACAAAAATGAACTGACGCATTTCTCCAAAAGTTGCAGATGAGTAGGTTCCCATGACCTGGAGACATCATAGGACTGAAGCTGGAAAACGACCTAAGGATCAGAATTTCATATCAATATTGATGTGTAAAAAACCACCCCAAAATGTAGCAGCTTAAAACTTCAAACACTAATTATTTCTCATGTATCTTTGGGTTGGCTAGGTGATTCTCACTGGGAGAGAGCACAAACTGAAGGCAGTTGTCAGAGGTAAATGCTTCTCTCACACTTACTCTACCGAGCCGAGGATCCAGCCCCTAGAATTGAAGTGGACTAAATTTTACTTAGGTCACTGTTTTGTATTTCCTTTTTTGCTTTTACATATTCAGATATATTCCAAATATGTCATCCTTAATTTGATCTTTGTTCTGAGATCTCTTAATTCCTCTAAAGGTTTTTGTTTAATTCAACTTCTGCTCTAAGACCAATTTTTAATTAACCAAACCTTTACAAACTTTTATGTTCTACCACATGAAGTAAAAATGCAGTTGCCATTTTAAATATTCCAAGACCCTAGATTTCTAACCCTCTTGTGGCTAGCACTAATAAATCCTTCTCTGCCTCAAGGCTTGGGAGAATGGGATGAAAGCAGTGCAAGCTATTTATTCAATCTATTCTACAGCTATTTATTGGGTACTTATCCAAAGTATAAAAGCAAGAAAAACACCTCCTCATGGGATTAAATTAAATTATGTTGTAATATATGAAAATGACACTACTGATGTACCATCATTAAGTCTTGGATTTTAGTTTTCCAGAAATAAGGGAAGAGGGATAAAGCTTCTATTAGTCTGTAATTTTTCTGTTTTCATTTCATTTCACCTCTCTAAATGTTGTGTCCCTTTTACACTCCCACAGCAGTGTATGAGAGTAGTGGTTTATCCACAGCCTTGCCAAAAGAGTGTCAAACCTCAGGATTTTTGTCCGTTTGATAGGCAAGCACAAATTTGTCATAATTTTAGGAAAGCAAAACTTTCTGCCCAGTTTTCATTTTTCTTTTCTATATATGAAGGAGAGTTCATTAGATAACTTATAATTTGGGTGGTAGTGCTTCCCTTATAAACTTTTAATTTTGAAAACAAGATAAATTATATTTGTGATAAGTATACAGAATCCTAAAGCAAACATTTATGCCTGGAGTTATTTCTTTTTCTATTACAATGGTGGGGGAGAAAAGGATGTGGGGGCAACTGGTTGATTCAGTTGAAAGAGCATGCAACTCTTGATCTCAAGGTTGTGAGTTAAGCCCCATGTTGTGTGTAGAGAATACCAAAAAAAAAAAAAAAGAAAAGATAAACTCAGGGTCCTGGGATCGAGCCCCACATCGGGCTCTCTGCTCAGCAGGGAGCCTGCTTCCCCTTCTCTCTCTGCCTGCCTCTCTGCCTACTTGTGATCTCTCTGTCAAATAAATAAATAAAATCTTTAAAAAAAAAAAGATAAAAAAAACCCAAAAGGGTTCATACCTATTTTTTAAAAAATCTGATGTGGATCTAATCAGTTCTCTGCAGAAAGTTATTCATTTCTAAATTTTCTTTAAAGATTTTACTTATTTCTTTATGTAGAGAGAAAGAGCACACTGGTGAGCAGGGGCAGGGACAGAGAGGGAGAGAGAGAGAATCTCGAACAGACTCTAACGCTGAGCATGGAGTTTGACATGAAACTTGATTCCATGACCTGAGATCACCACCTAAGCTAAAACCAAGAGTCAGACACTCAGCCAACTGAGCCACTCAGGCGCCCAGAAAGATACTCATTTTTCAGTGAAGAAGCAAAATCGTCTACTTCTAATAATGATACCTTAGGGGTTTTAATTGCTCCCCCTCCAAAAGATGTTGCAGTCTTAACCTCCAATACCTGCAAATGTGACCTTAATGGAAAAAGTCTTCACAGATGATCAAGTTAAGATGAGGTCATTAGGATGGGCTCTAGCAAACAAATACAATAGTATTCTTTCCTATTCTTAAAACTCTATTTTAAAAATTGTTTGAGGGGTTGGTTAAGTGTCTGCGGTTGGCTCAAGTCATGATCCCAGGGTCCTGGACTGAGCTCCACATTGGGCTCCCTGCTCAGCGGGGAGCCTGCTTCTCCCTCACCCTCTGCTTTCTCCCAGCTAGTTCTCTCTCTCTCAAATAAATAAATAAAAATCTTAAAAAATATTGTTTTAGAACAGGTGAGTAAATATGCAAAATACCTCATTTTCAATATTATAATGTTCAATACTTATAATTCATAAGCAAAAGGACATGATATATAGGATTTACTTTCATATACTCCAGTCACTTATTTTTTTAAGACTTTATTTTTAAGCAATCTCCTCACCCAGTGTGGGGCTCGAACCCACAACCTGGAGAATAATGGTTGCATGCTCCACCAACTGAGCCAGCCAGGTAGGAGGGGAGGGATGAGACATGAGACACTGCAACTGCAGTTGTATTTTCTAAATACCTTGTCAATTATTTGCTTGATAATGTAATCAGGGACCATTCTTAAAGTTTTGTTTGTTTGTTTGTTTGTTTTTTATTTGACAGAGATCACAGTAGGCAGAGAGGCAGAGAGAGAGAGAGAGAGGAAGGAAACAGGCTCCCTGCTGAGCAGAAAGCCCGATGTGGGGCTTGATCCCAGGACCCTGGAATCATGACCTGAGCCGAAGGCAGAGGTTTTAACCCACTGAGCCACCCAGGCGCCCCATCAGGGACCATTCTTAGACACCAATTAAAAAACAACATTTTATGTTTATAAAAAATTAAAAAAAAAACACACACACAACATTTTTCTGGGGCCCTTGGCCAATTCAGTCACTGGAGCATATGACTCTTGATCTCAGGGTTGTGAGTTTTAGCCCCACATTGGGTACAGACATTACTTAAAAATAAAATCTTTAGGGGCACCTGGGTGGCTCAGTCGTTAAGCGGTCTTTGGCTCAGGTCATGATCCTGGGGTCCTGGGATCGAGCCCCACATTGGGCTCCCTGCTTGGTAGGAAGCCTGCTTCTCCCTCTCCCACTCCCCCTGCTTGTGTTCCCTCCCTCACTGCATCTCTCTCTGTCAAATAAATAAATGAAATCTTAAAAAAAAATAAAATAAAATCTTTGGAAATAAGTATTTTAAAAAACATGTTTTTCCCTGAAACTAATACAATGCTATATATTAATTATACTTCAATAAAAATAATAAAAATATGAAACAATATTTCTTTCATACCCACCATGTGCCAGGCAATGTTGCAGACACTGGAAATACTAAGAATAGTAAGATAGAGCCTGTTCTCTCAGAGAGTAATTATCAGACATAACTGTAAGAGTAAAGTAACTTATCACCGTGGCCCCAGTTAGCAAGATACATTTTTAGGGGCACCTGGGTTGCTCAGTCAGTTAAGTGTCTGCCTTCGGCTCAGGTCATGGTACCGAGGTCCTGGGATGGAGTCCTGCACTGGGCTCCTTGCTCCACAGAGAGCCTTCTTCTCCCTCTCCCTGCTGCTCCCCTTGATTGTGCTCTCTTTCTCTCTGCCAAATAAATAAAATCTTTAAAAAAAAATGTTTTTTGAGTGAAATTGCCAAGAGCCATATACAAATAATACATTCATTTGCCTTTAACTTTCTCTTGTAGCTTTTCATCCACTCCTAATCACACTAAGATATTCTTCAGCTAGTGCTTAGTCTATAGAGTTCATTATCTCCCCTTCCCGGCACCTGATATAATATATATTAAATATTATAACGTCCTATTTTTCATTTTTGTGACAGCAGCATGATGCCATGACAGTAATTAATTTGAAATAAAAAAAAGAAAAATATCTCTTGATTTCTCTAGAATAATGACTCTCTAGATTATGTTTTAATTTTTATATTCTGTTTGCAATTCTTCTCAGGACTTCACATAGGTATTACATAAATATACCCAAAGTCTAATAAGGCACCTAAAAGACATATTTATTAAAAGAAAAAAAAAGCCCATTCTGTAAGCCCCACTCATAAATAAAAAATTACTATAATGCTTTTAAGTCAAAGTATATATTTCAGACGGCAATATACAATTAATTGTTGTTTTTCATTTCTAGCGATCAATATCTGCAGCCTTTTCCACTAAATTATATTTGGAATCATAGTGTAAAGTATATAGCATTATAACAAATGCAACTGACTGATACAATGGTTATAACTAACAATCGCATGTAAGAGAATCCTCTGTACTACTCTTCACTAGTCAGTGAGTAATGTAAGAAATACTTTATGTACTTGCCAATGAAAAAGCATCTTTAAAGCCACGCACATTCTACACAGGCTCAATAGAAAGTCAGGCAGCCATCTAGGGAATTTGCCAAAAGTAGCCAGTCCAGAAAATTCTTAGGGGGGTCACAATGGACTTTCGGTTCTGATCAGTTTGTCTGCACTTATTTCATCCCCAGGTCAGAAACATTTTTTCTAGACTCTGGTTATCCCTGAGAGATGAACTGGTTTCCTCACCCCAACTTAGGAACTGGAAGGGAGAACGTGGTCATCATCAAATAGTAATGCTTTGGAGATATGCTTTTTAGTCATAGATTATCAGCTAACTGGCCTTGATTAGTCATGTTAAAAGTTTTTCACTTTTAATTTGTTTTTATACCATATGTGCTTATTTTTTTAAAAACATCTGGCTTTTAGTTTGCAGAAATGTTTAACCCCTTTAATCAGTTCCACCAAATACAGATTTTCCTATACTTACAATGGGATTATGACCTGATAAACAATTCCAAGTTGAAAATATCGTAATTTGAAAATGCAGTTAATACAGCTAACCTATAGAAGTCATTGCTTAGCCCAGCCTACCTTAAAGGTGCTCAGAATACTTACATTGGCCTACAGCTGGGCAAAATTATGTAACACAAAGCCTATTTTATAATAAAGTATTGAATATCTCACATACTTTATTCAAATTGAAAGTGAAAAAGTGAAGTACTCAAAGTGAAAAACGCAGCGGCTGTACAGTTACAGAATGGTTATAAGTGAATCTGGCTGAGATCACTTGGCTGACAGGGAGGTGGCAGGTGGGGTGGGCTGCAAATTGGTGCTGTTGCCCACCATCAGGAGAGAGAATCTGCAGCCTAATCCTAGCCCTGGAAAAGATAAAAACTCAGAATTTCGAAGAACGGTTTCTACTGAATGCCTGTTGCTTTCGCATCATCTTTAAGTCGAAAAATGGTTAAGTCATGTAAGTCAGGGACTGTCTGTAG